TGGCCCCAAGAGTGACTTTGAAGCACCTGAGCCCCAGTCACTATGGCAAGATGAACGTCGCACAGGCCAAACAGCTGCTGAGCAAGAAGGTCGCCACCGGCATCTGGATGATGGCCCTGTTGCACGCTTTTGAGGAGCCAGCAGAAGCCATCGCCACCTCAAAGTTCTGCGGCAGGGTCAGCGACCTATTGACTCCTTAAATGGCACTGTGCACGTCGCCGATCCAGCCCTAGGACAGTTCAAGTGTGCCATCACTCCCAGTTCTGGCCATGAAAAACTGTGGGAGGAAATGTTTGAGGAAATCCAGCACTGGGATTTTGTGGGCTCACAAAACATGGCATTTCCCAAACATTTCCTGACAACGCTCAGCTCCATGGCCTACTTGTGGGAGGACCTGCAGAAGGAGGGCCGGACGTATCTATGCTGCGGAAACGTCAACTCGGACTGCATCGAGAACTTCAACAGCCTGCTGCGCGACTCCGCTGGTCCGAAGAGGGCCTTCACCATCAAGGAGTTCCCTGCAGTTTTTGGCTCTGCGCTTGTCAACCAGCTGACAGCGTCAGCAAAGGGCAAGAACTGCAGGGACGACAACGCCCTCAACGTGCTTCATTTGGAGATCCTGCTCCAGGCCGCCAAGGACGCCGCGGCCGCAGCACCGCAGCCCCCTGGCGGCATGCGCCTGGTGCAGGAACCGCAGGAACAGCAGGCTGTTGAAGAGCTGGAAGTGGACGGGGTGCAGGAGGTGTGGGAGGAGGAGGAAGACGACGAAGAGGAAGAGGATGCACAAGAGACCAACAACAACTCACCATCCATTGTTCCTCTTGTGCCTCTTGATGTGTACCAGGCGAGGGTAAGAGAGCGGTTGCAGGAGGCGAAATCCGCCCATGTAGCTGCGCCCATCGTCCAGAAGTTCTGCGATGCGGTCGGCTGCACTGAGTGCTGCAACCAGCTCCAGGGTGAAGCTCTCTTCCCTCTACACCTGGTGCACACCCACACCTTGGCAGCAGGACCTGCATTGGAACAGAAAGTGCCATCAAAATCAGCTGTCACCTGTTTTGATGGCATTATGAAGGTTGCTGTTGAAGTTCTTCCAAACACCATTAAACAAGAGCCAAAAAATATAATTTCAAGATTTTTAAATGAGCATGTGAGCAAGTTACCTTCAGTGAAGGCTCTCCAGCTGTGTGGGCAGCATCAGGACCAGAAGGAGAAGTTGTTGTGGAGATTCTGCACTGCAGCTCTCCTGGATGTGCTTCTGGTCCTGAATCAACTTCTGAAGAAACCTGCAAAAACCAAGAACAGTGCCAAGAAGCATGCTATTGTGACACACCAGGCAAATGTTTAAGTTATTTATTATTATTTATTAAATTATTTTTGTTGACTGCATTGTTTCTTTCATAGTCTATTGTTTTTTAAAATGCATGTCAAATTGTTTTGTTTTATGTTTCATAGTCTAGGAGAGTCTATTGTTTTTGTTCTGGAGATATATTCTAATTTAAATGCATGTCAAATTGTTTTGTTTAAAAGATTCTTGCATGTCAGCTTGAATGCATGTGTACTCTTAATTTATTCTTCCCCATTAATTTAAATAGCATGCCAAATTGTTTTGTTTGAAAGACTGTATTGTATCTAGTCATTACATATTTGTGGAATTAATTGTTATTGTGTAATTGTATCTTGCATGAAATTTCTACTCATTCTGTTTAATCTGCTATAAAGTTTATTTAATTTTTTTGTAAAGAAGTCTGCTTAGTTCTCTTGCAGACACATGATATTTTTGGTTTGATTTTTTTTTTGGACTTATTAGCATGCAAAGTTATTAAGCGATTAGCGAAGCCCATTACTCCACTGATCGAAAAAGTTTCATTCTGTTTGTTTGTAGTCTGTCCGCATGATAACTTGAGAATGAATTGAGATAGCGATCTAGTTTATATGAGGTTTACAGTAACTGAGATTATTTTGGTCTGGACCTCCTGCTTTGAAAAAGCTGTCCGTCAGACTTGCATATAAAAAAAAAAGACTTTTGAAAGATACCTGTTAATTTAAAATTTGTTAGTGCTTGTTGCTAGTCAGCTTTGTATGCAATGTCACCTTGTAATTTAAAGTTTCTTTGTACTGCATTGTTTTAGCCAATTTAGAAAAATCTATCGAGCTGGCTTTAGTTAAAGAAAGTCTCGTTGACTATTAACAGCAGTGGATTTAGTTTTCCTTTCTCAGAAATGGTACGAATTGTTTCTGTTTTCCAGTAAGAGCTAATTGTATTCAAATTTTAACAGCATGACTTCCGTAATTATTATTACAATGTTTTCTAATTGTACCAGCTGTGCTATTGAGTTTTCCTATGTGACCTGAGTTCACAATTTAACAAGCTGTTTGATACATCCTTTGATTTTATTACAAAACTGTGCCTCCTAATTCCTTGATACTCTTTTTTGAAGAGCATTGACCCTGAATCTCAACTAAAACTCTGTGACATAAACTTTCGTACACCAAAACTGCCATTTCGAACTGTTTTACCAAAACTTTAATTCACAAAACATTATGAAACGATTACAAAGAATACTCACCAGTAGACCATAACCTCGGTGGGTGAACGCACTGCAGCAAAATATAGATTTCCTCCTCGGCAACGGGTCGAATGTGTGCTGAACATACCCAGCATTGCACCAAACTATTCTCAATACATTCGTGCAACCGAAAACGCATGACTTCTCTTCGTTAATTGAAAAATACACACGACGAAAATCGACGTTCCTTTCTTCGCGTTCTTGAATGCACATTATGTCTCTTGTGAAGCAACGACACAAAAAATTCTTGGACAGAATTACTTCACTGGTGTTCCCCTTTAATATCTCATTCATAAAAATCCCCAAAACAAAAGGAAAACTGTGGAGTTGGATTAAATGCCAATTTTACTTTTTAGGGTTGGCCCGACAGCCTCTGGGAAGCCCAACAACAACAATCGGCAGCAACTTAAAGCGTCGCTCTCTGAAATACCATGTTTATCGTTATTGTTATTTTTTTCAGATTTCTTGTTTGATATTTGCTGGGCTGTGAAGTGAATACTTTTCCATAGCTGCATTGAGTAAAGGGCTGTGCTATACGCTGATTCATGCATTTCCAAATCAACCGTCTGCTTTCGTGGAATAGGGTGGAATGTTGTGTGCCAGTAGAGGTTATCGTGCCTTCGAAAGTGCTCGTGTTTTATAGGTCCTACCAGAAATTGAAGGTATCTTCACACTCAGAAGTATTCCATCTCCCTTCCCCTCTGTGTTTCGTTCCCACTTTTTTATTACTTAAAAAATGCTATTAGATATAATTGTGAATAA